GGTATATGAACAAGTTCTGAGCTGTGACCATTAGACCAACAACAGTCTTTATATCTTCTTTTAGTTCTCTCTCCCTCTCTCTTATTTTCTTCTTTTGTTTTAAGTTCCCATTTCTTGATTTTGGCTCAAAGACCGGCATTTTTGCATTCACTCAGCTGCCTCGGCTTGCTCTTCTTTCAGGTATGTCTTTGGTCTCTTTATTTATTTATTAATAACTGTGGTTCCTGTAAAGATAACAGAAACACACAAAAGATACGTGAGGCATTAGCTTTGGTTATCGAAAACCGTAAATCGTATATAGAACTTGTATAAACAGTTCTTTCATCATATGAACAAGTAACCACCATAAAGATGATGAAAGAAGACAGATTTAGGACATGAAAAGACCTGTTCATTTGTCATTCCTACAATTAGTAATAGCACCAAACTCTGATTTAGATTTTTGAGTATACAACAAGTCAAAGCAAATTCAGGAAAAAGCCTTCTTTTTTCCCATAGATATTTACATAAGGGAATCTAGTGGTCTTTTTTTAAATGGTAAGGTTTGAGTACACGACTGCCTCATCTTCTGTGTCTGTAGCTATTTATGTTTTGAGTTGCTTGTTTTGAAAAATAATGACGATGGAACTCTTTAAGAAAGACAGACAACTGATTTTGGATTTAGAAGAAGACTTTTGAGTATTTTTTACCTTCCGACACTCTCATTTCTGAGCTCCTTACATGAATGTGACATTCATTGGTTTTTTAGATGGGACTAGATTCTGGAAAGTCACCTTTCATGTTTGAATATTATTCATCTTCTGATCAACTGCATAAATCGATAACATTGTCGCAGGTCAGAGGCCAAAACGCTGGTGTAAATAAAAAAGACTGTTTCTGTCAGAGAAAAAACTTACATATGAATAACCAAGGAAGTCAGAATGTTGCAACTTGCAAGCCCGTCACTACATTTGTCCAAACGGACACCAACACTTTCAGAGAAATCGTGCAGCGCTTGACAGGTCCATCAGAGAACAATGCTGCAGCAGCACCAGAACCAACAGTGATAAAAACCTCCCTACCAAAGAGGCCGACTTCTAAGCTCCATGAGAGAAGGCAATGTATGAGGCCAAAGCTTGAAATTGTCAAACCTCCTCTAAGCTTTAAGCCCACTGGTACGACACCATCATCTAAGTCTGGTAATACCACCCCTTCTTCATTGCTCTCTAACTTGTCCTTGATAGAAGGGGAGAAAGCAGAACCAGATGGTTGTACAACAAACATTGAAGAAGAAGAGAAAGCTATTAAAGAAAGACGCTTTTACTTACATCCATCGCCAAGGTCTAAACAAGGGTATACAGAACCAGAATTGCTTACTTTGTTTCCTTTAACATCTCCCAATTCCAATGGCAGACCATAAACTCGACAGATTAATCATAAGCTTGTTCTCTTCTTACTATCACAAAGATCATGTGTATGTAGCGTTTCACAACAATATCATTGAAAGAGAAAGATTGTTCACTTACACTGTCTCATCAAGATTTGTCTCTGTAACATCTCTCTGCAATGTTTTTGTGTAGACCAGCATGATCTAGATTTGCAGCATTTCACAATATTCATTGTTTACAGTGCCAGTGGCTCTTTCATCTGAAGATATAAAGCATTTAGTATGTCGTAAATACTGTCTCTTTGAGGGTGAGAACAATCTCCAGACAAAAAGATACTCCTTTGCCCATCCACTTCTAGCCAACTACATCCTGGTGGCTTTTTCATTTCTTTCGTTTTCATTAGGTTTCTCAAGTTCATCACGCCTTCCCATTTACCATCTGCAGCATACATGTTAGATATTTGAACGTAATTCCCAGTGTCGTCTGATTCAGCTTGCAAAAGATGATTTGCAACTGAGTGCCCCAGATCCATCCTATTATAAGCCGTACAGGCCCTTAACAGTGTTCCCCATATATTTGCATTAGGTTCAACTGGCATTTGTGAAACGAAAGAATATGCATCATCAAGTCGACCTCCTCGAGCAAGTAAATCTACAACTGAAGCATACTGTTCCATTGTAGGTTTCATACCGTGAACCGTCCTTATTGAGCGGAATATTTGCAATCCGTCTTGTATCAATCCAGCATGACAGCATGCAGTCAACAGAGCAGTTATGAAAACATGATCGGGCTTTATGCCCAAGTCAACCATACGAGAGTAGATCATAAGTGCTTCCTTACCCAAACCATGCACAGCATACCCAGCTATCATGGAAGTGAACATAACCAGATCTCTATGAGGATCTGACTGGAAAACAGAATATGCGTTCTTCAAGCTGCCACATTTCGCATACACATCTAGTAGAGTTCCCTTCAGGCGGATATCACCAAGTCCACCTCTAATGATGTATCCATGGCATTGTCTTACTAGATGCAGAGAGGCTATCTGCGCGCAAACGGGAAGGAGATTCATGATAGTCACAGTGTTAGGCCTCATTCCTTGAGCTTGTATCTCACGGAAAACACCAATGGCTTCATTAGGACAACAACTTTCACCATAAATACGAACCATCAAACTCAAAGTGGTGAGATCAGTATTAGGCATCTCACTGAACAGTACCTGAGCATCATCATGACTTCCACTGTTAACATATCCTGACAACATTGAGTTATAGGTAACCAAATTTCTCCAGTTTGATAAACCCTGAAAAACCTTATGAGCATATTCTACATTACCACATTTGGCATATGCATCAAGCAATGCATTGCCAAGCATAGGTTCCTCTTCATCGTGTAAAAGACCGGCCTTAACTGAGTACCCATGAACTTCTTTTACTTTACAAACTCCCTGTACATTTGTGCAGAATTTGACGATGCTTAATATAGTAACAGAGTCAAGAATGATTGCTTCATTAAATAAGTGGTGCAAGAGGTTCATAAAATGAGAATGTTCTGGTCTGTCTGCAAAGGCATCAAGTATAGCATTCCAAGATATTATATCCTTCTTGGATATCAGTGAAAAGGCCCAATACGCTGCACTCGTGACACCGAATCTTGCATAGAAACTAATGAGAGCATTCCCAACCGATGTATCCTCCAAGAGGTACGAATGGCGCAAAATATAACTGTGGATCTCTTTGCCAAAGGTCAAGTTAGTTAACTGTGCACAGACAGGAAGGATGCTGACAATTGTAACCGAATCAGGAGAAACGTCCCCCTTGTGTACCAATTTGTGAAATAACTGCAAAGCTTTAAACCACTCACAATTTGATGCATAACCGGCTATGACAACGTTCCATGAAACCAGATCTTTAGAACCCATCCTCGTAAACAATGAGGCTGCTTCTTCTATTCTTCCGACTCTCAGATAGAAACTCACAAGAGAATTGCATACAAAAACATGAGTTTGCAACCAAGACCTCTGCACAACATAGCAATGAATCTGCCTACCACTTCGGTATGCAATGTCCTTGTCCATAGAAGCGCAAACTGGCAAAATACTTGCAATTGTTGCATAATTCGGCTCTGTAGGTTCCTTCAGCATTAGACAAAACGATCTAAATGCATTGGCCTTCATATTATTCTCAGAAAACCCAGCAATAATCGCATTCCATGAGACAACATCTTTGTCAGCTATACTATCAAACGCAGTATAAGCATCAGGGAAAACAAACCCGCATTTGGCATACATAGAAACCAGAGCATTCCCCACAAGTGTATCCTTTTCTAAACCGGTTTTAATGATAGAAGAATGCATAATCTTCCCATTGTATGTATTCCCAAGGCGAACACACACAGGAAGAACAATCGCAAAGGTAACAGAGCTGGGCTTCGGTTCATCTGCAAAGTGCATTGCTTTGAAAAACCTCATCGTCTCATGAGCACAAGAACCCGAAAGTCCAGTCAGAACAATATTCCAAACAACAGGATCAACACTATTCATTTGCCTGAACATCTTCTGGCAATCATCCATACTCCTACATTTCGCATACATGTTAAGCACTGACTTCGATACCTCATTGCATGCCATATGACCAAGCTTGGCCACGCAACCGTGCAGAGCCCTCCCTGATGTGAGCTCAGAAACTGAAGCACAAGCTTTGATAACTTCCGATAAAACCCTGTGATCAGTTCCCAAACCAGACAACAATCTGAAATTCTGAACAAAATTCCGTAAAACTTCCATCTTTCCCCTAATTATCCCAAAAACAAACGTCTCGTCAAGAAAAATGAAGTTACAGAATTTGGATCAGACATTTCCTCAAACACCTGATGTGCAAGAACAATTTCCCTCCAATCCTGTAACTATCAGTATATAACCATTGCCCATATGTGACAGACATAGACAAACTAAAGAAAAACATAATCTTGATCAAGTCCCTTACTACATCAAGTAATGAAGATATCGCTTTGTCTCCGGCTCCACTTTAAAACTATGAATATATATATATGGATTATTCTGACTATATTAAAACGGATGGGGTAAATAAGAATAAAATACTATTTTAGGTCCTTACGTGCAAATTTAATATTCTTATCCTTTTCGAATAAAGCTCCATAAATATCTCTCTCCTCGACTCTGCTTTTTCACATCTCATACAGTAAAGTTTTACAATCTCTCAAGCTTTTGATTCGACAGTGACGAAAGCATAATATGGCGTCGCCGGGAAGTGAAACAGCGGCGGTGGCTGCGGCGATTGGCGGCGATGGT